ACATCGACATGTTTTTTGCTTCAAAGCCAGGTGATTTCTTTAATCAGGGTATTAACAACCTGATTGTAAAATGGAAAAGCATCATCGATAAAAATGGAGACTGTTTCATTTAATAAATGTTTTATTTTGATATAAGAGTTGTTTGGGTTTTTTCATCTAAAAAAAGCGACATTAATTTCTTGACGACCTAATAGTATTGTACTGGAACCAGACGTTAAATATTTATTCTGTGAATTGTCCAGTGAGTGGCCTTAAAACTTCGACATACAGAAATATCTATTTTGTTTTAAATTAAAATTGATTGATTTATATAAGTGGTTTTGGAGAAACTTAAGAGGACACTAATGTTTAATTTTAATAAAACGAATAAAATATTCATCACTTGATTTTGAAGTAATTCATGCATTTGTCAAAAGTTTTTATAATAATTACCTTTGATACTTGTTATTTGTTATGAAAATACACCGAACTGCCATATCATGAAGGAAATGTTTTTCTGAGAAGTGTATGAAAATTGCAAGATTTCTTGATCAGAAAGAAAAAGGGAAGTTATGTGAAAATATCAATTCCGAGAGAGAAGAAAGAAGTGGTCATTAAAGACAAGCTTTTAGCACGTGTATTCTTGACCCCGAAAAGGTTTAGGGTCACTGCGAACAGAAATTATCTTGGAAAGTACATACAGCTGACATTATTTTCGTAAAACAATTCATAGGTAGCGTACTTCAACAAAATTAGTCCTGTTTTCTAGAGATAGAGTATAAACTGGTGTTATGGTTTTTTTTTATAGCTGTATGCTCTTCCTTACATAATTTTACAAAACTGTGAAAATTATCGTAGGAAATCTGGAGTTGTCTGTGATTTAAAGCTGTTTTTTAACTAAACAATAATAAAAATAGTGTAACGTTAACTATTATTTTTAATTTTAGGACCATAATAGACTTTAGACTGGTTTTAACGATCTATGTCTAGCCAAAAGGCACACCAACGAGCCCTTCACAAACCACGCTCTCTGGATTTAAACTGGAAAAAAAATATTTCTTTACATTTGAAAATGGTTAGGTTCTGTGAAATTATTATTTTTATGAATATGAGCCGAGAACCACACCTAGTAATTTTCCAGAATGAAAAGAATAGTAGTTTTCCGGCCGTTAAAACAATCTGTGGTCTTAATTTTTCTCTCTGATATTTCGCCAACTTATTAAGGGCCTGTTCACACTGGGTCTTTTTATTCCTTACTTACGGTTTGTGTGGAGAAAAGTGTAAACAACAAAATTCAATTGGCAAAGAAAACGGAACTGAGTCCATCAGAAGAAGTGGTCTCGGTCCGTTTGGTAAAGCTTGTTTCGCTTATAAAACTTTTAAGTGAACATTGGAAGGTTTTTGGGAGTGCTGACAAAACACGTATGTGAACCATGGACATGAACTCTATTTCATTTCCAAACGAAATCTACACGTTTCTTCACATGACAAATGTGAATAACTAGCACACTCGTCAAATCAAACGAACTCAACTGAGACCGTTTAAAACGAATCCAGTGTGGATACTGCCTCAAATGACCTGTATAATACTGTATTGTTTTAACTTTCTACGTACTGATTAATGACATCTGAAGAACATTCCTTTAATAAAATAAGAATTCGTATTTAAATCAAGTTTAGGTGTAAATCGGAGGTAAATTGTAACTTGTAATCTACGTGCACCCCTTTTTCATAATTTTTAAACTGAAGACTTTTGTAACAGTGACTGGTTCTTGTGCAATATCCACTGTTTTTTAAGTATGGCAGTAAAACTGAAATATAACCAAATAAACTTTTACAAATTCAGTAGACTATAGAAACAAAAAGCTGTGTGTGTATGGTATTCATATATGATACGCATCGCCAAAATCATGAACGTATCCTTGATTGAAATTCGATGACGAGGAACCCACTTTGAGACTAATAATGGCTGGAGACGGCTTAAATGGGTAATGAAGAAAAACTTTAATATAAGTTTAACATGACAGCAAATGTACAACGTTTCGACAAGGTTTTGTCATTGATTGTAATGGAATATGAAGGTCAGGTTGTTCACTTTCGGTACTCCCGAGTTGAATCGGTTTATCCATGTTTAGTGACCATAAGCCAAGTTAGGTTATTCTGTTTTACTGCAAGAGTTAAATATCAAACTCGTCAGCATGAACACATTATGTTAGAATCGAATCTTACATTTTTTAATCATGAACAATTGTAAACCTTATAATATTCACAAACCCCATCGCTTCACGTTGGATTTCAGATGCAGGCTCGCGCAAGTCACGAGAATAGATTTATATTTTTTTAAATTTGTGACAAAATTTCAGTGTTTTCAGAATCCTTATTGACTCTTGAAAAACGTAGCACTTTGATCCACCGTTTTGGGGGTAATGACTTGCATACGTATCAGTATTTTTTTTTTATAATGACATTTACAGATTAAATATCTTAACTCCCCTTTTAAGGGTTAATAGTCAACGGCCTACTTTATTTCAAGTCAAGGATTGAAAATTCTCTAAATACCAGCATCATTAACAATAGAATTACCAATGGGGTTCAATGACCCCACTGGCTTGTTAAACACATTTTTCGAAAGTTTTATTCAACAAACTGTTTATGGCTTCATTACTTCGAGACCTGGCATGAACTGATGGCTAGGGCGCTAGGGCGCTCGAATCGCAATATGCGGGTTCGAATCCCCGTCACCGAACATGATCGCCTTTCTCACTGTAAGAGCATTATAATGTGCGGTCAATCCCACTATTCGTTAGTAAAAGAGTAGCCCAAGAGTTGGCGGTAGGTGGTGATGACTAGTTGCCTTCCTTCTTGTCTATAACTGCTAAATTAGGGAAGACTAGCGCAGATAGCTCTTTAGTACCTTTGCGAGAAATACTAACCAAACTAATCCACGACTTCTTTAGTTAATAGGTGTAGAATTTGCAGGTGCACTCGTATCTTACAAGTAAGAGTAGTAGCACATATTAAGGAATTCTCCAGTGATACTGTCTGTGATAAAATCTAAAATATCAGAGTGAGAAAAACCTTAAAATTGTGTAACTAGCACAAGAATAAAGCCAACTTCTTTCAAAGCCAGTGTTCAGTATACTGTATATGACACGTGCTCCAACTCGTGAAAGTGCTAAATATTTTGAATTTTTTAAGTAAGAAATATTCACTTTTCTAAGTTAAAAGAATCACCAGGTTTGTTTCACGCAACACACATGAACCCAAACAACATACAAGTTGCGTGAAAACATTTACAAAAATACTATTGCAAATTAATCCCATTCACTGCTGCAAGAGTCCCCTTCGTATTTCAGCCTGTTTTGTGTTATTACTTTACAGTGAGTGTTATATCTGGGAGGGGGGGGGGGGCATGAAATTACTCAACATGGTACAATATGCGGACCCCAGGGGTATAATAACAAGTCGGTAATATGGAAGTTAGTATGCACGAGGAGAGTTTTTTGGCCTTTTTGATTACTTTCTACAAGTGGATATATTTGTGTTTTGTACATTATAATACGAAGTCAATAGGGAAAGCTTGTTCCATCGACATATTGTAACACGTGAATGGTCTCCAGAGTGAGAGCTTCGATTAACTGTGAATCATTGCCCAGTGCTCTGCGAAGCTATGATATTATTTTAAACGATAGTAGTGGAATAATCATTTCAAACAAGTATAATCTCACTAAGTAAAAACTTTTTTTTTCTAAGTATGTTTAAAAAAAACTTTGCACATACTCATTTTAACGACTCTTTTTACAAGTTAAAAACATATTTGAAATATTTAGATTTTTTTACTCAAAATGTCAATAGTATCATGTTTATAAACCTAAAATTGATTGTTGGCGTTTTATGTTTGTTTGTTTTTTATCGCAAAGCTTACGCAATGGGCTGTTTGTGTTCTGTACGCCGAGAGGAATCGAACTCTGGATTTTAGCGCTGTAAGTTCGCAGACTTACCACTGACCCACCGGCAGACACTGGAATTGGTATACAACTTTAAGTGTAAAACACCACCAAGAAATCCAGCTTTATTAGTAAAAATGATAAACTAACTATCTGAAGTAAAAAAATGTCTGTATGGCAATACATAAACAAGTTTTATATTTTCATGTTGGCATGCTAATTTTTAAGTTTTTGTGTCCTCATTCTTACTATATAGTGTACATTCTAACATTATACTAACATGTTAGTGATCTCGAACACCTTCTATTAGTCATACATTGGGTGTTTATTACATTTTTTTACAAGATGTTTTCCTTTATTCAGTGTGGAATTGATGTGAACAAACCCAACTCTTATGAACAGACAGCCTTGGACATTGTGCGCTCTTACTCCAACTGCCATGTTTCCCGAGAAATGAAACAACTGCTCAAAGGTAGAATTTAATTTCGTATCGAATATTTTACACTTTCACGATTTTAAAGGATAAACTTTACCTTGATAGAAAATTAGAAATAAGAAGATGATCTTTTCTTTGTCCCGTTATCTAATAAATAGATTAATGTTCTTAAACTATCAGTTTTCATTTTCCTATCGTGGAGTATACGCCCACCTCAAAGTACATTTTGTTGTTATGTACAACAGTGACCATCCCTATGCCCTTCTGTACAAAACTTGTCGTCATGTGTGCCTTGTACAGTGTTTACGCCCTTCCGTTATACAACGGCTCCCAACTTTACGTCCTTCTGTTTATTTTATACAGTTTTCTGTTGTACAAATCTTTTTATCTCTACGTCTTTCTGCTATATGATCTTTCCGTTTCTACGTCCCTCTGTATACCGTAGCATATCTCGTATTATGTCCTTCTTTTTACTTTATAGTTTTGTGTTATACAAATCTTCCTATTTCTACGTCCTTCTGTATACCATATATAGATAGTTTTTCTCCTATTATGTACTTCTTTTTACTTTATAGTTTTGTGTTATACAAATCTTCCTATTTCTACGTCCTTTTGATATACAAAATTTCCTGTTTTCACATCCTTCTGTATACCATATATAGTGTTACGTAGCTGCTTAAAACTAGTTTATTCTTTCTCGATACTACTTTGTAATACACAATAATTTCACAATCAATACATCTCTCGTCTCTTTACTTAACAACTCCTATAATACTCGCTATAAATCGCAACTATTCACAAGCTTGATAATTTCGCTCTCTGCAACGACTGCAGTTTACGGCTCAACGTCACTACTGTTCGGTTGACTCAATTATCTATATCCAGCTAGCTTTCTTTGCCAGGCTTATATACTAAAAAGGGGGCATCTATATCACACTCGAGCTACCCGGCAAATTCATGATCGTTCAAGAAACTCCAGCGCGCATGCTCCCAGCGTCAGGCGACTTCCGCTGTCGTAACAATAGTGTTTCCTGTGCATCATCTTCTAGATATATAAAGCGTCCAGTTCTACGTCCTCTTGTGAATTTTATAAAGTTTCATGTGTAAACACCTTTCTATTCGCTTAATACATTTACCGAGTTTACTTGTCTATGTTTTTATTTCAGGTTCCTGTGATTACATCCTACCGTTATACATATCTTCTTTCTACGCCCATCTTACACTTTCTATTATTTCTTGTGTGAATATCCTTCTAAAACATTCACATACACACACACACACACACATTTATCAACTCATCCCGTTCTGATATCTTCCTGTCGCAGTTTTTCGTCTTTCATTTTTTCTGCGCGTTTACTAGCTGCTAATGTACATCACGATTAAGCATATTATAACTTTAGCCACGCAGGCCTATTCCTTTTGTCACACTTACTGCTTCTTTCGGTAAGGTTTTCCGGTATAAAGTGTCTGAAATAACCTGTCAATTAACTTCGTTTTTGTGCCATTGCCTTAGAGGTCTTTTGTTATTTACCAGATCTCATCAGGCCTGATGAGCTGTAATGCGCAAATCCTTATTTCAACCACTATTTAATTGTAATCATTTCTATAAATTGTTCTCCAAACCCGTCAAAAACTAGATAGGGGTAGTAAGAACCTATTTTTTGGCTGTGATTCCATCAGATAGTAAGTGCAAATGGGAACATATGCCTCTCTATCCTGGTGACCTTTTCATCTTCCTATGTTGTACCCAAGTCAATGGTTGTTTGAATATGGCATATGATAAACTTGCTATTTTTATATTTTTCTGCAACTGTATCTAAAAACCCTTCACTTTTCTGTGAAGCTCTGTCAAAGATTCCAAACTTTTAACGTGTTTTAGTCTTCTGTTACTTGTAAATTCCTACTTCTAAGATATCTTGTTATCCAGAGATCCTCACTTGTAGTCTTCTGTCCCACGAAGCTTATCACGTGTAGTCTTCTGTCGTACTACAAAGCTTATCACATCTACCGAAACAGCGGAATTGTTTAACAACTTTTAAGGTTGTGTTACACAAGTGTTTTCGTTTTTACCCTCGCTCCCGGAGGGGGGGGGGGTATTGCAATCTGGTTCGTGTGTCTGTTTGTCTATAATTCTATCCTACCCAAATATGGTCGGAATATAATTCCGGGTCCGGATTCTGGATTTCTTTGAAGCATTTATTGTAATGGGGAGATGGGTCATTTTCACAGTTTTGGGTTAATATTTCTGTAAAGTGTGAATCGTATTTGTACCAAATTTCATGGGCACATTATGGTTGAGATTCCACATAAAACTACAAAAAATGATCCGGATCGTTGATTATTCTGGATCTGAAAAAGATTTTCTGAGTTTTCGAAAGTGAAATTTGACGTTATCCTATATAAATGCGTGCAATCTCGAAAAGGAGCGGCGGGGCGAAGGTATATAGTCTCTCAGATTGCTTCTGTCTTGTTTGTTTTGGCAGTCTTGGTTAACTGTAACCTATTTTTCTAAGGATATTCAATCCTACAATGATGACCCTTGAGGAAAATTTACTCATTTTCTTCTGGTGAATCATGTTTGTTTGTTTTTTCTCACCATTCGGGCTCGTAGTGGAACAGAAGCTACTTTGTAGAAATTTAGTGCAAATGAATCACTTAATTAGGCGTTCTTCTATAAATGTTTTGAGTTGTGTATTTTTGGATTGGTTGAACTTAGCTTCTCTCTGGTTTGAATTTCGGTGTTTATGGAAGAAGTGTTGAAATACCACTTCAATAGCTCGTGTGTCTATGGAAGCTGTGAAAACCACCGAAGTATTTCTTCGTAATGGTTCATGTGGTTCTTAAGAAGAGTGAGAAGATGATAGAAAAATGAGGTGTTAGAACCAGTCGACAGTTTATTCATTTATTCATCATGAAAAAGCTGTCAAATAAACCCATTACAGAAAGCTGACAACTAAAACTGTAAGGCTACAAAGATATAGTTTCATATGAAACGAAGAAGTGCTACTTGGGATAATTTGATATCAGTTTCTGCGTTTGAATGTCCCACAGTGGATTAGCGGCAAGCTTAGGGACTTATAACTCAAAGATCCGTGGTTTGATTCTCCTAGTTATACACAGCGCAAGTAGCCTATTCTACCTCCCCTATCCCCTCGACATGGATTCCTGTACGTGATGAGGGGACCTCCTAGGGAAGGTTCTGTATTTTCAGTTACTTCCTCTGGGATCTAAACATCCACCCACGTGTTTGCCGTGCGTGGCGACCAGTGAAGGGGAGTAGAGGATCCTGGTGGTTGAGTGGTGTCTGGGGCACTGCACTGCAACATACTACTTTGGCCTTGAATTCCTGTAGACGGGCGGCCTTGAATCTTTCTCCTTAATTATGGATCCCCCCAATACAAATAAAAAACTCTGCTAATCGGTAAACGACCACGCCTAGAAGACTCTGAACTGCAGTCTCCATCACAAAGTACACCTGTACCTCTCTTCCTGATCCTGCATTCACTGTCCGATAAATCGTTAGGGCAAATGCCTCCCTTTTTTTATTCAGAAGGGCTTAGAGGGGCTTGCTGGCTTTCCAAAGTCAGTTAAGAAACTCCATTCTGGAGATATCTTGGTTGAAACATCCACAGCTAAGCACAATGAACTCCTCTTGAATTCAAGGGCCATTGGGGATATACCCATTGAGGTTACTCCCCACGCTTCCTTGAATTAATCAAGAGGAGTTATTGTTGAGAGGGACTTGAAGTCTATCCCTGAATCGGAAATCCTTGCTGGTTTCTCCAGCCAAGGAGTTTCAGCAGTTCGAAGGATCTCCACTCATCAAGATGGTATTATGGTGCTGACCTCAGTTCTTATTTTGACGTTTTCATCACCACGTCCACCTGCCACTGCTAAGGCAGGTTATTTGAACTGTAAGGTATGGCCCTATATTCTCAACCCTCTCCAATGTTTTCAGTGCCGGCGGTTCGGTCATTCCAAGACATCTTGTCGTGGTTCTGTGACATATGCTCGTTGTGATAGCAAGGACCATGATGCCTACAAATGCAAACTAGACCCTCATTGTGTTAATTGTAGTGGTTCCCATCCCTCTTACTTTAGGTCTTGCCCTAAGTGGGGGAGGAGAAAGAGGTACAGCGTTTGAAGACTGTTCACAACATTTCTTATCCAGAGGCTCGGAAGCTATTGTTCTTTACTCCATCTTGGACATATACCACTGCACTACGCTCCACTGCTCCACTGTTCTCCTAAACCTACATAAAAATGGCCACTTTGTTACAGTGGAACTGTCGAGATTTACGTTCTAATCTCGATGACATTAAGGCCTTGATTAACTCCTATCATCCCGTGTGTCTCTTCTTACAGGAAACATTTCTGAAACCTGCCAATACAGTCACCTTTTGGCAGTTTTCTTTGTAGTGGAATGACAGGTTCTGTGATGGGTGGGTACATCGATGGGTTGGCACTGCTGGTCGACCAGCATGTGCCCTCCTTATCTGTATCCCTCGATACAACCTTGGAGGCCATAACCATCCGTGTTTCCTTGGGTTGTATCATCAATGTTTGTTATCTCTATCTGGCTCCTGGGGAGACTTATGATCAATTGGACCTTGTTGCTCTCGTTGACCAATTGCCATCTCCCTTTTTACTTCTGGGAGACTTTAATGGACACCCCCCCTCCCTCTGGGGTGGTGCTGATATTGATGGGAGGGGTCGTTCCATAGAGCATATGCTCTCGAATCACAACATTTCTCTCTTCAATACTGGAACATATATTTATTTTCATGCACCTAGTCAGTCTTTTACTGCCATTGATCTTTCAATTTACTCCACTTCACTTTTCACTCGCTTTTCATGGATGGTTGACAGTGACCCACGGGGCAGTGATCATTTTCCTATCATTATGAGAGAGGTTGGTCATGTCGATGCCACCTGACCCGAGTGCCAATGAGAAGTTGGACCAAGCTGACTGGCTGTCTTTCACCTCTCTCTGAACTTGATCCTGCCTTTGTCTGTCTGACTGTATCGTCCAGGCA